CACTTACCTCTCAAAATTTTCGTTGCTTTCTAACTATTTGACAGGAGCCATTACAAATTCATCCAAGCTAGTTGTTAACTTTCCCATGGTAACGAATCTTGTACAATACATCATTTGATGAATGAAAACCTTGACTTTCTATTGGTTATAGATAATAAAATGTACAAGAGAACTATCAACAAATTGTGAAAGAGAGAATGTGGCAAGAGGGGTCTGATTTTTCTATTCTATAAGTCTGTAACAAAACAAAATTGAAGGATATAAAAATTATAGTTTGTTTGAGCAATAATGATTTTATAGAGAGTATTTTAAGTTTAATTTCTTAATTTTTTGGGGTGGGTGGATAAAATAGGGATGATGACATGCTAAGACAAAATATGTCACGTGGGTCACACCAGTTGAAATTCAGGATTTTTTTAAATATTGCCTTGTAGCATTAAGAACTTAAAATTTGTATACTATTAAAATATGCATTATCAGCTAAGATTTTATGCTATTCTAATTGGTATAACAAACATAAAGTAGTTTAATAAAATTTTGAATGTAAGACACTAAAACCTTGTGTCATGTGCAGTAAAGGTTACCCGGGGCAATAGGGTTAATATAGTATGTATATCGTAACATACAAAAAATCGTATTTTTAGTGGAGTATTTTTAATAAACTAAAAAAAAGATTTGTCTGTGAATATATCAAGTATTTTTTTTTACTAGTTCTCGTGCAAAGTGATTTTCTTGTTAAGATTAATTATACTTTTCTTCATCTTAAGAATCTCAAATTTCATTTGCATAATCTCTAAATTTTCTGGATACATTTCAAATGTTTGTTTACAGTAAAACGATATTTTATCTGTTATTTTCTCTACCCTAACTCTATACAGAATTGGTCGGTTTCACCGACCTCATATCCACAAAAAAAATTCGAAATAAATCTAAATTACCTTTTTTTTTCTTTCGAGAATGACTTCAAATGTAGCATGAAACTATACTTGTTTATACTAAGTACCTTTAAACTCATAACAATATACATTTATTTATAATTAAATTTTATTGTTTTATTGACCTTTGAACCATTTCTAACTACTAATCATACCATTATAAGTTGTAAATCATTTGGGCAATGTGGATTTCATGTTACACTATTGAATTACATTACCCACGAGCTACTCCGAGCTGATTGCGTGCGTGCCTCTTGAAACATTTTTATTATATTATTATTATTAATTTTACCTAACCTAAAGAGATCCCTATTTTTACATTTTTAGTTACTTTTACAGTAATAAATAAAGAATAAACATGAAAAACAAGAAATAAAGTACTTACCCGGGTCTTCTTTATTTTATTTTTTTTTGCCGTCAACTGTCGATGACACTTAACTCTACTTTTTTTTATACTTATGGTAGTAATGCATTAAATAATTTTTATCTGATTAAATAATGCACCAAGGAACATAGAATAATAACATACAAAAAAGCAGACAATATTCCCTAACTATTACAATTTTTCTGGCTTTCTAACTATATGACAAGAACAGTTAGAAATTCATCCAAGCTAGTCATTATCTTTCCTGTGGGAACAAAGCCTGTACTAACAGTGAAATTGACAATTCTCTGTTCAGAAAACAACATAATATAATACATCATTTGATAGATAAAAATCTTGGCTTTCTATTGGTTATATAGTATTAGCAAATCCTGAATGAGAGGATGTGACAGGTGGGTGTGGAGAGAGATGTCTGATTTTTCTATTTGATGGCTTAGTAACCAAATAAGATTGAAAGCTATAAAAATTATGGTTTGTCTGAGGAATGACTATTTTATAGTGAGTAATATACGGTAAATTTCATACTTATTGGAGGGGTGATGAATAAAATAGAGAAGAGGGAATGCCTAGAGAAAATGTCATATTTCTCACAATAGAGGAAATTCAGGATTTTTTAAATATTGCCTTATAAAATTGAGAAGTTAAAACTTGTATACTATTAAAATATGGATTATTAGCTACAATTTTATGCCATAGTAATTGGTATAACATAAACAAATGTAGTTTAATTAAAATTTCAATGTAAGTCACTAAACCTCATGACGTGCACTAATGGATAGCCGGGGCGAGAGGGTTAGAACAGACTGACCAGAAAAATCAGTTTTTTGTTTGACTTGCATGTTATAATTGACCCTCTAAGCAATAAGTTCATAAATCCACAAGAAACTTTGTGTATATCTAGTATTCAAAATGTGTTCTTACCAAAACAATAGCTGGTACCTCAGAATGTAATACAATAAAAGTTGTCACTTTTCTGGTTGGTTATGCATAAACAGAGTAGATGTACTGTTTTCAGGGCAGGTAATAGAAAACTATGATTACTATTAAACTTGTATCTTACACTGCTCTATCATTTATATCCATAGTCTCGGAGGCCTGAATAATTCTTGATATCCTGCAATATGTGATTTTAACTGGGTTTCATTACATGACTAGTGTAAGTTGTTTCCATGGTTGGTTCAAAACTTTGGCTAGTTGATGACATCTGGATGCTTTTTAGTTAATCTCTACATGATTTCAAAATAAACTCAAGGCTCTTGGTGGACCATTTCAAGATGTTGATATTGATTTAAACTTGCATATAGGGTATAGGGCTGAAAATGCTACCCTGCTGGAATGTTACAAATTATCCCTCACAACAACTGTGCAGTATAGAGCTTGTACCATAACACCAGAAACATAATATTTTACATGTGGCACAACACAGATATAGCCAAATAGTTCACATTCTTTCTCCATGACTTTCTCTCACTTTGGAAATAGGTAACAGTTCTCATAACTCCGTGTTTTACAACCAGTCAAAAAATTCCAATACATACAGGTCTTATACTAAGCATAATATTTCCAAGTCTTTTAGGAATGATTTGTGGTGTCTGTATCCTAGTCCTTCAGTAGTACTTGTATTCATGGAAAGTACACTGCTCAGACCTCACAGATTTTGCTTATCTGTGTGAGTGCAATGAATGCAGTAAAGTTGTTGAAAATTTAGTGAAGAGATGGTTTCTAGAATTTTTTTTTCCAATAAGCAAACATTTATCATGCTTTGACAGCACTTTTGGCTAAACTAAGCATTTTTTTAGATATTTTACTATTGAATAGTCTCATGCACCGAAATTTTCATATAACAAAACATTTGAAATGTTTCACTTATTGATTTTCCTCACTTCTAGTAACTTCTTTGTCAAAATGATTTGATAGTCTTTAACTTGGCACCATACATGCTCTTTGACAGTATTAAACTACTATTAAAAATGTACTAGGTGGGATATCCAGATTATTTTTGTATAGTACATTGCACACTGAGATATACTGCACAAAAAAAAACACAAGTAAGAATTTTATAAAAACTTTTGTGTTTAGTTATGATTGTCACTTTAATTGATTTAATTTGTCTGCTAATGTCTGGTGGTTAGCAAATGGTCAGCTGCCCACAGATGTTTTTAGACTTGCATGTTTTGTTTGTTCATATATTAATTTAAACAACACTGTAAATATTAAACTTAAATATATAAATGTTTCCTTTATCTTACTGGATCAACCCAAGTATATTTTCAAATTAAAAAGGTTTTAATTAACCTTTTTTTATATGAAACATGATTATGGCTATTGACATTAGGTTTATTTGGCTCTGCTACTGCTCTTTCCCAGTCAACCTTTTATACTGTTTTTATCCCTGTTTCTTTTATATTGATTTAAGTAACTTTATAGTAGTATGTTTCTTTTGTATATGCTCTGTAACATTTCATTTTAATATAAATTCTTATATTAGATTATAAAAGTCATAGTATTCTTCCGTAGTTTGTACATAATACCACTGTGTCATTGCTGTTTGGCTTTGATCTTCCCAGGTGCACAGTCCAAAAATTTTTTGTGTAACACTTAAATATAAAATAATACTTTCAAATTAAGTAATAAACACACAACATAAGTAAACAACATTTAAGCACAATAAAAACTTCATTTGCCTGATGGCCAACATTAAAAGACGACATGTTTCACTTATGAGGGTAGTGTAAAGCAATTGAAACATGTAGTCTTTTAGTGGTAGCTGTTGGGTAAATAAAATTTTTATTGTGCATTTTAAACATTATTCTTACTTTTAATATTAACCTTTTTGCACAAGTTGCCTTGCTTTAATTTTCCCAAAATAATAATTTTTAATTCCACAAAAATTGCATGAGAAAATTATCAATACTTGAAACTCTTAATATAAAATCATTTTTGAACTGTGTAAAAACTTGGTGTTTTCAGATATTTGCTATTTTTTGTGTGGCTTACATTTTTTAGACAGTTGTCTGTTGTTACAGCCAATTTGTGAATATTTGTGTGTTTCTCAAACAGGAGGTTCTCCAAAAGAGTTTATATTACTCTACCAGATATGGATACAAGAATCACATTACTGGAAGCCTTGCTTAACAAACAGAAAAATCCTCTTTCAAAAGAAGATCTGAAGAAACTTGCTAAGTAAGTAAGCACCTGAGATAACGTGCTTAACATAATCAGAACCAACACATCGTATCATTAAATTTTAATGTTTTATTGCCCTTTAAACCATGTCTAACTACTATCCACACCATTATAATTTGTAAATCACTTGGGAAACGTGCAGCTCACATTATACTATTGAATTACATTACCCACAAACTAGTACGAGTTGCTCTCGTGCGTGCCTCGTGAAATATTTTTATCATATTATTATTATTTATTTTAACTAACCTAAAAAGATCCCTATTTCTACATTTTAGTTACTTTTATAATAATAAATAAAGAATAAACAAGAAATAAAGTACTTACCAATCATCTTTTTTCTTGCTATCAATGACACTTAACCCTACTTTTTTATACTAATGGTAGTAGTGCACTAAATAATTGTTATCTAATTAAATAATGCACCAAAAAACATAGACTAATAACATGCAAAAAGTAGACTATTTCCCATAGCTCAAAATTTTTCTGACTTTCTTACTATGTGACAAGAGCTGTTACAATTTCATCCAAGCTTGTCATTAACTTTTTCACAGGAATGAACCCTGTATTATAAGTGAAATTGATACTTATCTGTTCAGAACACAATGTTATGCAATTCGTTATTTGGTAGATGGTTATTTATAGATAATATATAATTAAATGTAAGAGAGAACTATTAACAAATCCTGAAAGAGAGGATATGACAGGTGGGTGTGGCAAAATTCAAGGCTATAAAAACTATGGTTTGTATGAGTAATTACTATTTTATAGCAAGTAATTTACACTTAATTTCGTACTTTTTGGAGGGGTGGTAGATAAAATAGAGAAGACAAGATGCCTAGAGAAAATGTGTCACACTAGGGGAAATTAGGGATTTTTTTAAATGTTGCCTTGTAGAATTAAGAACTTAACTTATATACTATTAAAATATGGATTATTAGTTAAGATTTTATGCTATACTAATTGGTATAATGTAAACAAAAAGTAGTTTAATAAAATTTTGAATGTAAGACACTAAAACCTTGTCATGTGGAGTAAAGGATACCCGTGGGGATAGGGTTAATAATAGTTTCAAAGTTGTAAGCATTAATCAATGTTAGTTAATGTCTTGCTTTCACCATAGCAAAGCTGCTACTAAAGTTTTGTGCTGAAACAATGGTAGCAAAATCTATCTGAACACCAACTTGTGTAATGTTATTTAACACCTTCAAACTCTTTCACCGGTGTGACTAGATATAACTGATGGTAACTGGCAGATAATTGAGGAGCTTCTGCCTGTATTAGTGTCCTTGAAATGTGCAATAACTGTTTTGTGTAGTAAGATGTTTCAGTCTCAGTGATGTACTCCATTATAACCATCCTGCTTTCAAAGCATTTGGAAAGTGTGCCCAGTGAATCCCACAAGGTGGTGCAATTAAAAACTGCAGTTTAAGGATTGCTAGGAAGAAAAATGGAACCAACAAGCTTTGAAGCAAATGGTAAAGTACCACTGATTGCATTCAGCCCTGGGACTTTAATATAAGCACAAAAAGTTTATTGATCTCCCATATTCGAGTGGATGAGAAACTCGTTTGGTGAATTTGTTTCCAGACTACTGTATAGAGATATTTCAGGTGCAATAGTTCAGGTTAGCGATCCTTCTATTGAAATATATATATATAAAATTATATACTGCTACTGAAAAGATCATGATGGCTATACCACTTGAGGAGAATTATTATGTGGAAGAAAAATCAAGATATGATTAAATGAAACATTACTTTGACATTCAGCCATGTGTTTCACCAGATGAGAACCCACTTGTATGGTGGATGATAAATGAAAGTATTTATCTTTCTTTTTTCAAGAAACTTGGAGTGTTAGTTAATGCACATTTCTCTGTTTCTGCAACTTCTGTCCCAGCAATGTGTCTTCATTATCTGGACTTGTATTAAGTAGGCTGCTCAGTCACCTCTCAGACATGTGTGGATGTATGCTAAAATTGTAAACAAGAATTTGAGTAGTCTCTTTCTTTTATTATATATATATATATATATATATATTTGTATATATATATATATATATATATATATAAATGTATTTATATATATATATATATATAAACTTTTTTATCTTAAATATTGTTAATTAAAAGGACTATAAAACAATCAGCAGTTTCTAAACTGAATTAATTTGGTTACATTTTAGTTTCAGCTCATGAATAAGATCACTTTTGTACGAAGGTTTGGTTCATCATTGGCCCTTAAGTTGCAGGTGCTTCAAGCCAATGAGTGTCCCCTTTTCACCATAATGTAGTTCATTGATGGGTAACAGATGAAACTACATTATAGTATTTTTGCACATACTGGAGGCAAAGCAGTTTAGTTTTCAGGCATGTTCTGTGTTTCATGTCTGTTGACCTTTCACTGTTTAGTTGTTGTGCTTCTAAATAATTCTAATAGCTTTGAACAACAGAAAACCAATTTTAAGGCTGTGAAGATGATTAAAGTCCATTCACTTACACATGTTTGTCTTTCAAAGAAATGTTCCTTTAGTCATTATTTATAATTTTGGCTGTCATATAAATTTTGATGAAGTATGGAAAAATATTATAAGACTATAGCAAGTTTCAAAATCATTTGATATAAAGTGCTCATAACAGTGTTTTAACACAGATTGTAGTTGGGATTTGCGAGTCTAATCACGTTTTCACAGTCTTGCAGAACTAGCAAGCATTGTTAATTCATACAAAAATAAAACTGACATATATACAAGTGCATTTAAAATTAAATTGAAATCTGTTGTTGGTTTTGCTACTAAGTTGGGTAGTAAAATACTGAGTAAACACTTCAAATTGCATGAGAAGGAGATTATACTACATAAAGTTATTGCTACAAACAGTGTAAATTATTACCACCAGTATATAACCAATTGTCTCTGCTTAGTAAGCTTGTATAAAGTTAAAATAGAAAAAAAAAATAAAACCAACAAATTTATGTCAACATGTATGTGTACAATTTTTGTAGAACAAAGCTTGTGTATATCACCATGTATATCTGTACAGTTTTTTGTAGCATGAAACATGTCACCATTTATATCTACAAAAATTTGTAGTATGAATCTCGCATATGTCACCATTTATATCTACAATTTTCTGTACCACAAAGGTTGCTTATGTCACCATGTATATCTGCAATGTTTTATACAGCTTGCTCATGTTACAATTTATATCTACAGTTTTTTGTACCACAAAACTTGCTTATATCAACATGTATATCTAGTTTTTTGTACCACGAAACTTGCTACATCAACATGTTTACCTAGTTTTTTGTACCACGAAACTTGCTCATGTTACCATGTATACCTACAATTTTTGTACCACAAAGCTTGCTCATGTCAACATGTATATCTTCAATTTTTTTGTACCACAAAACTTGTTTATATCAACATGTATATATATAAAATTTTTGTACCATGAAGCTTGCTTATGTCACCATTTATATCTACACATTTTTTTTTTTGAAAGATGAGGCTTGCTCCAGTAATGAAATCAAGATGAGATTTCCTTATGTTAGAAGATGAATATCTAAGTTTTTCAAATGCTTAGTCACTTATCTAAAACTTTAATAAAAGATAAAGAAATCATGCTTGGAAATTTAAACTTTTTAAAAAAGGATCTAAGAGCGTAATAGTGTGTTCTATAATAATAATAAAGCATAAGATAGCTGTTTTCTCACAGTATTCTAGATATACTCTAAAATCGTACTATTAATACAGTTATTAATTTAAATTCAAATTGATAAACTAAGTATTGATACTATATTGAATCTTAAAGAATGATGTATTAGAAAACTGTGTAGTGTTTTGCAAAAGTAAATCATGCTTTAAAACTTTTTTGGTAAATTACACATTTTAATTTCATGCAAGAAATTTTTTGTAGCATGAAGATTGTAATGGATTTGTCATTGACAAAATCATTTGTATTAGTTAGAAGATTTTGTGGAAATTATTCCATAAAACTGTTTTGAACAAATTAAATTTTGGGGGCACTGTATTATTCTTTATCTAAATGTGTACAACAGTGTGATGTACATGGGTATCTAGAAGCTTTTGAGTGAATACCATATATTGTTAGATATTTTTGTCATCAATTGATTTTGAAAATAGAATGTTTTTGTTTTTATATTTGTTATTGTATATTGTAAATGTTTCCCAATTTAATGTATTGTTAAATTTTTCAAAGACCTACGATATTCTTGATATCATATAAATTTAAACAACTGTAACTATCAAAACAATAACTCTGTATGATAATCTGAAGATTAAAATGTATTTATGGAGGGATTTTATAGTTCTCCATAGATGAGTTTAATATGTACTTGCAGCTAAATCATGAATTTCATTCATTTGATTTGACTATATTTTTATTCACTTGCATTGCAAGGATTAACTATTTACATATAGATATACACAGGTTTTACAGGTTTTTTATTTGTAAGCTCATTTCGTTAAGATTATAAGATTAGTTTTTTGCATATATACTGATGTTGTACGAAATTTGACTAACAAGTACTCTTCAAAAATCTTCCATTTCCTGGCCTAACAATGTTTTATCTTGCATATTACGTTTATATTTTTTCATTATAATTATCTTCTTAGCATTCTTTTAATTTTCAGTTATAAAGCATACATTTTATGAATTTTTTTTTATATATTAGTGCTTTCTTTCACTGCTTAATAACTGCTTTCTGAAAATTCCCAAGACCAGATGCGTATAAAATTTAAAAGGAATTGTTCATTTTGGTTTGACTTATAATTTGAGACAGAAATATTATTATAGATCCAATAACCAATATCAAATTAGGAACCTTCATTTAAAATAAAAGTTTTAATGCAAGTGGAAACTTATTCCATTAATGAAATAAAATTTTAATCTTGGCTACCTAAAGATGATGCCTGTTTTACAGGTTAACAGAAAGCTACTCCATGACATGAAAACATTAGCGTAAGGTTTTATTATTATTATTTCAGGCTAACGGAGGGTTACTCTGGAAGTGATATGACTGCACTAGCTAAAGATGCTGCTTTGGGACCAATAAGAGGTAAAAATAGGGTTTTAAATGTGCTCTACTGTGATTTTCCAAAATAGCAGATTTAAAATACATTGTTTTACTGATTAACATTAAGAGAAATGTTCTTCTAAGTTATTGAGCAGGCAGATATCACTTACTTCATTCTCACAGTGTTTCCAGTAACAACAGAAGTTTACATTAATAAAACACAATGTGTGTTTTGGAGTTGTATTACCACTGGAACAGCCAGGTGAAATGTAAAGCTTATTTTACTAGTGTTATGAGGGAGGTATTCACATAACAATCAGGTCATGTGTAAAGTTTATTTATTGGTAAGCACTTATTAAGCTGAAGCTGGGTGTTTAGTGTGTAAAAGATGGTATTCATGAAATGAGGAGGTCAAGTGTATTTATTGGCAGTATTTTTGTTTACTTGCCCAATGTTTATATAGTATTCTTTCACTAACCAGATCAGTTCTAATATTTGTTTTGTATAAGTATTAGAGGATTGTGTAAGGTGCTAGTAATGTTGTGTCTGGATAACTTGTATTATATTTTTATTTCGAGTATTTGTATAACATACATTTCACACACACACACACACACACACTGAATTTTAGTATGTGTTAATTTATCCAGTGTTTAGGATGCTTCATTCAAAGAGTAATAATATCTACTGTATTTTCTTAAAATGAGTATCTCTTTTGCCTTAAGTTGTTTTCATTAAGTGTTTATATTCAAAGAATTAAACTGTATAAATGTAGTGTGACTTCAGACTTAATTACTGAAAATAAATACACAAAGTTTAAAATTTAGGGATATTACATGATATTACCAGAATGTGTAACTCTTTGGTATCAAAATTGGCAAATTTGGCTGTTAGATTTCCACTGTCTCTGCTCCTTTATGAAACATATACTTGCTCAAAACAACATTTAGCCTCGCTATATAAAAATACAACTTGTAAATAGTGCACAATTTCTATATGCTGAGGCAATACACTGCACACATAGACTTCCTTAAAACATTTTGAAACATCCTTTTTTTACATCTGTGCAAACCATTTATATGAAGCATAGAATTAAGTACTAAACCTTTTAATATTTTAAATAACATTGTAATTATTAAAATTAGAACTTGCCTACTGTAAAAATTGATGTTATTGTATGTTTGAATAATTACAAGTTAATTTCTGTTGAACATTTTACATTCTAATCTGCTGCTTACTTAAGGAGAATATTAAGAAAACAGAGGATTAAGCCCCAACTTGTGCCAACACATACAAAGCATTCTATCCTCTGTTTATACTAGAAAGGCAAGTATGCTTTCCACTCATCCAGGCTCTCACCCTGTTTTAACTTGAATTTGCTAACTCTTTGGCTGGTTTGCAGTGTGGATATTCAGGTTTTGCTGAGTTCTATGGTATATTGTCTGTGTGTGTTATTGGTTAGTGGTCTGTAAAAGGCTTTTTTTTATACTTTTGTTGTTTTTATCGTGCAAGTAGAATTACATCGTGTTATACTAACTTCTTTTACGTGGTGGGATATTGTACATAAAAAGTTGTTAGAGTCTTGTATAGCTATTGTGCTTTTTATTTATAATTGTTTTGATATTTGTTTCCACAATGAATTGAAGTTTACATTCACAAAGGATGTTGTACGTAGTGTTTTTGCATTCCATTAAGTCTTTTGGTGGCTGGTTTTCATTGTAATCAAACACTGGTGTTTTTCATGAATTATTTTTCTGTTTTTAACATTCTTATGCATTGTAAATTTTGCAGAGTTTTTAATTTTTGGTGATCCCATTATTTCTAGTGTTAGTGGTTTTAAACAATAGCATGTTTAACAAGGCTTCTTCTATGTTTTTAGCTGTCATTAATATGTTTCCCAATATTTCTAAAGGCCAGCATACATAAGGAGACATTTTTCAAGACATAGTGTTTCTTCATGTATTGTGGCTCCTCTCATGTTTCAAGAAACAAAGAAATGTGTGGTGGAGTAGTCCTGGCTTCTATTTTGAGAAACAGTTTGCTTTTCGCTAATTAGAAGAGACTGTTAGAGTGACTTTACAAGATGGCAACTTCATCAGAAGATATAATGCTCTGGAATCCTACTAAAATTAATAATTTTATTGAAAATTACACTGATAATGTTTCCTGACAGTATTTGAAGAAACATGTTTGGGGAAACTTGTTTCCTAACATATGCTGGTATTAATTCACTAGTATCTTTAACAAGGTTTATGGTCTAATATTTGGAGAAAAGTGAGTGCCTAAGGATTTTATTATAGTTTTAGTGCATGTAACAGTAGTATTTTGGGTTTCTTCAGTCAGTTATTGATTTTCACCAATAGTATGTTTTCCAATGTTGTAGTTTGTATATTTTTGAACAATTGTGTGTTTCCAAGGTTTTGAATATTGATTTATAACACTTAAAATAAGATCCAAAACTCGAGCGCTTTTGAATAGTCGACTATTCAAAAGCGCTCAAGTTTTGGGTCTTATTTTAAGTTTATTACGCTTTATATGTGATCCTTTATGCTAACGCTTTTATCAAGATTTGTAACACCAATATTACTAATTGGCCACTGGCTTTTGAACACTTTTTTTAAACTATCTTTGGACCAACTTGCTTCTGGTTCAGTTTCTTTGTCTGTTATGGGACCCTTAACAGCATATGATCACACACAAAGCAAAAAAGAGGGAAATAAAAAGTGTAAACAAAAATACATCAATATTGCAGTTAATCTGCTAGTTACTGCTGGAGTTTCCTGTGTATTTTACACAAAAAAATAACAATTTCACCCAGTGTTTTTATCAGTTCTTTACTCTGGGTGCTGTAACAGGCAAAAAATAAATGTACTCAATATGATGTAATATGAGTGAACCCCAATTATAGTCCTTAATTTGAAAACAGTTTAGTAAGTTTAGATTAAGACTAGACTATACAATTTTATAGAATCGTTCTTAGAACAAAATACCGCTTTTGAGGTGATTTCATTATTCTCTAGATTAAACTTTTATATTGTTTGTACTATGAAATATCTTGGTGTGACTAATATGTAAAAATGGGTAGTACTGTATAATACCTTCTAGTGACTAGTATGTTTTCTAATATTATAGTTTTTGCTTTGGCCTTTCCTTTAGACTTGTATGTAAGACACAGATTGTACTGTATAATACCTTGTGTTTCCCAATAACTGGAGTTAAATACGCATGTTTTATTTTCAGAACTTCATCCTGATGAAGTTTGCAATTTAGATCCAGATAATGTGAGTATTGCTTTTATATAGAATAAATTTATATGATTCTTTTAAAGTAGTCACGTTCATATTTTATTAGTCACAGTTGTGACATTTTATGAGGTAATTTTAACCATTTGTGAAATCACGAGTTTTAAGTGGAGTTTATTTAGAAACTAAAGCTATGTTTACTACTGGAAATATCCATGTATAGTGTGCACTCTATATATGTAATTGCTGTGAAATGCATCATACTTAAAGTTAGTGATGACAATATTATTTATGTACTTAAAATTGTTCAAGTCTGTTCTCAAACAGTTGGGTGGTTACAAAAGTTATTGCTATTTTGCATTTTATTTAAAGAAAGTTCATACTTTTTACTTATTTTTATTGATAAAATAAATTATCATGCAATTATTATTTTTTTGAGTTTATTTTTTTTAAACAACACTTTAACCACTTCTGTGATTTGCCCATAATAAGTTGGATGCCCTCTTTTCTATGTTTGAAAACATTTGCCCAAATTAATTCAGGCAAACCATTTCTTGTCCTATTTTTAATTATTTGCTCAAATTTATTCACATGCTATCATGTATTACAATCAGTGTTCACTAGATGGCATCGGAAATGCTGGTTGTGCTGGCCTCTATCGGACTTATTCTGAATTATGTATCATAAACAGTGAAGAAAAGCATTCTTATTCTTTACTGTAGTTTCATTGAAGTGATATATATATATATATATATCACTTATAAATCCAGATATGTATTATTTATTTATCGGGTATTTTGTGCAGAACTATAGTAATGCATCATAAAAACTTTTGTTTCATTAATATATAAGTATAAGCCATCAAAATGTGAAATAAAAACATGAATTTTTAGCTTATTTTAAAAAAAAAAAACCTAACATGGAAAGGGTTAAAGAAGTTTTAAAAGGAAAGTTGTTGGTTATTATTAGCTGTATCCTCTAATTCCATCCACTTTTTTCTTTTCCGTAAATCCTTATTAGTCATGTAGCTCCATTCAGAATAACTACTAAAGGAACCACTGTTACAGTAATTAAATTGGCTCACAATCTGGTATGAAAATTACACAAGATTTAAAACTGGCATTGTGCAGTTTTAATGGTGGACTTATAAATTAGAAAGGTATCCCATTGAAAAGAATAAAATGTTAGCAAATTATAACAGTAAGGATGTTAAATAAAAAATCTTATTTTCTGGTTTGCTAAATATGATTTTTTTCTTTTAATAGTGTGGTCAATTTTGAAGATATTAGGTAGCATGAATATTTTGTATTACTACTATTAATGTTATGAAAGTTGCAAGTTACTCACATGCAACAAAACTGTCCTGTGAATATACCCAAAGTGAATTATGATTTAGGTTCAGTTTTCAGCAGTGGAAATCAACAAATCACATAATATTTTTACATTGTCTTGAAAGTTATTGTAACAGTTAGAATATTTTAAGGTGGATTAACACCAGCAACATTTATAATATGACGAATGAAGTTAGCCAGATCTTCGTTGATTTAATACATATGCATACTACTGATTAGAAGGTATTATACACAGAGGGTTGAGTGTGTTATATGAAGAATATTTTGAATATGCAAATTAGTAAGTTGGTTAACAATGGAACGATATGTATTGAAACTACATTTTAGACATTTCGTAGGTAATGTAATGACACTAAAAATTGATCAATTTTGGGTATGTAACAACCCTTGCAAAGGCAAAATATTAATATGCTTGGATCATAAAAATGTATTCAGATTGGGGATTCAGAATTTTCAAAATGGGGATATCCCTTTTACTTAATGACATTGGAAAACAAAGAAAAATAAATAAACTTGAATCACAGAGTATGGGCTCACCAAAATAAGACTTCCAGTTATACACCCCCATTTAACCATTACATACTTTAAGCACCTGGAGACTAAAACAGGTATTCATAGTAGGCCATACAAAGACACTGGGCAAGTTGCCATCTGGAGGCCAACAGTGTGGGTTCACCAAGTTAAGGCTTCCAGTCATACTGCCTGTTCAACCATCGTATGACGGACCTGTTTTACAATGGAAACTGCACTGCAGGGTTATTTTCAAATGCACAGTCATCAGATAGAACATGACCAAACATATTGACATGGACTGTAACAATGTAGTGAAGCTCCAAAATTGTTTTAGTATAATATACTCAACCTCTGAAATACAAACTATCCAATACAAATTGTAAATAACCATTAAATAATAATCATGTTATTTAAAAACCAATTACGATAATAATAATAAAGAAACCCAATAGCCCCCTAGCAATGTTGGATGGTAGATCTTCGTTTTTGTGAATGAGCTTGCCATAATACCAATATGAACTTTATAAATAAGAGTTTGAAAAGTAAATTATTTTATTAAACTTTATTGTATATACAGTAACTATAAGTGATAAAGTACTGTGAGTAATGCTCATTCACACCTCTTCACTATTTTCATGTCCAGAAACATAAATACTGCATATAGAAAAGATGACAGCATTTAATAGAGTTGAAAGTAATAACTTTATATCTTTTCTGTTAGATGTATAGTTTTTGCAGCAAAACAGTAAATGAGTATAGATCTTTGATATAGCCTTATTGTGTGTCTCTCTACCTACCCTCTTGTTTTTCACTTATATTTTAGTGTTCTTGTGTTTTATTGCTCAAGTTTTGTGTAACCATCAAGTTCATCTAATGCCATCTATGCAAAGGAAGAAAATTAAATAAGACCACAAAAATTCCAACTCTATGTAATTTATAGGGTGTCACATATTTTGGAACAAGTTTTAAAGTAAGATCTAAAGAAATCCAAAACATTATTGTACTTTCATGTTGGCAGTGAAATCACTTAAAGAAACAGTACTGCATATTTATATGATAGCCATGTACGAGGAAATGTTTTATAGATAAAAGAAATGCTTTTTTTGTCTAGAATTATCTGTTCTTTTTGTCATTTTATATTATTAGCAAGTAAAACAAACTGATTGACTGAAAGGTAGTGTCTTTTTAGGTTAAATACCAACTGTTTCCATCTTTAAGAATTTTTGTACGATTATAATTTTATAGATGCGACAGATTACAATGGAAGACTTCAGTGAATCACTAAAGAGAATTAGACGAAGTGTTCCATCACAGTCTTTGGTACAGTATGAAAAGTGGAACCAAGAATTTGGTGATATGTCAGTGTGAAGGCAATAGTGATAGTGTGAGTAGGGTGGGGGAAAGACATGCACATTTGTACATATCTCACCCACAATTACAGTAGAGTAGTCACACAGATTTGTGATATTCATCTTAGCATTTAGAAGTACAGGTTCAAAGGAAATCTACAACCAGAAAGCCTGTGATATCCCAGACAGAATTAAATATAAAGAATAGAAAAACAACAATAGATGCAGATAAGGAGTGACATTATAGACGCAAAAGCATTTTTTGTTTTTTAATGTATACATATGTAATTTATTTCATTTGACTTTTATAGAGTGATTTCTGTGTCATGTCATATATAATTTTAGTCTGTAGGATAAGTTTGGCTTTTCAAAATACATCATGCATTGTGTCTGTTGGCTTCTAAGAATACCAGTAATTCAACCCATACAGATTCTTTGCAACAATTTTTTGTAAACTTAATGATGTTACTGATTATACCATACATATGAACCAAAAAGTTAAGCAACAGTTTACTCTATACAGTTCTTATATGGAACTATATCACTGAAGAGATGCAGCTCAGTTTTTATACACCACTATAGAACGTTGTTCATAACAGAACATTTCAGCTATTATACATAACTGTGCAAATACATAACAAAATGTAAGAGTAAATACAGGGCTTACATTTCAGCCTCATCATACGACCATAGGAATACATACAAAACTACTTATTCCATCTTTTACACGACTAACTGGACATTAACGTGCTGAAATCTATGTGTAATGTACAAGTGATGTTAGACATACTTTTCTGTAGACCATTATGAAAATGAATGTGTAGAAGACTATAGTTCTCAAATTTTCGTCATTAATGAGTAAGTTAAAAAAAAAAAGACTATTGGCAATATCATTAGTTTTTTGTAGAATAATATACATGACTGCAAAAAACTGGCATTAGAAACATCCACTACATAGTTAGTATAATGTACACACTAGCCTTTAATATGTGTTTATAATTTTATAGTTAATTATCCAAAATTCATTTAAACTTTTAACAATTATTGAAAAGTGCCTACAATCTTAGAAAACTTGCATTTAAACCTTTAAGAAATAAATACCGATCAGTTCATGCCTGTGGAAAGATACTACATGTGAAACTAAATATAAAAAAGATGACTGTAAGGACCTGCTTCTCAAACTTTAATATTTAGAGAAGTGACTATAGAAATATAAAAGACAGGTGGAACACCTACATTTAATACATTAAGGCTGAAATATTCAAATCTACCAAACTATGTAACCTTGAAAATTAATCTGAATACTTCGACATTTAGAAACATTACATAAATCAGCATATTTTCATCTTTGGTGCTATTCTGAATCATTCAAACCTCAGGTACTAAGCTAAATATGTCAAATCTTAGATGCAAACCTGAATACTTCAATATTCAAATCCACATTATTAAGCTAAATACTTTAATTGTGAAATACTGGTTGGTCCAAAAGCTTTGGCTCATGAAGCTAGATATTTCACACCAAGTTTTCATTGGAATACTCCAAGATATTAGCTCATCACATTAATCTACGTGCTTCAGTCTTTACGTACTTTTGTAATTACTTCAAGATACATGTACAACAGATTAATAGAGATACTTCAAATCTTAATCCTCCAGTTAGCATACTTTAAATAACAAAATATTACCACCTGGAGTTTTTCAAACAGTTCAACAAGTGTTATTAGTTTTAAGGCAGAACTATGGATAGTTTAAGATTCTGGCTCACCACTTTAAACTGTGTTTTCCAACTTGTAACTCCAAGTAGTAGTTTATACATGTAAGCAGCACATCTTAACCATAGAACAGATACACAACACAGGTATCTTTGCCATTAAACTTGAAAGGTAGGAGAACTAATTCATGTTTAAAGAGTTTAGTATTTGAAATCCACTTATGCTTTAAATGGCTTCACACACATGTAGTGCATGCATTTTTATAGTAGTTTGGAATGCCTTCGTGTTTTAAATAATATTTATTTCAGTTTTTAACTATGTTTATTGGGTTAAAATACAAATCGATTCTTGTGAAACTTTTTTTTTGTCTTTAACTATACAAAAAGCATGTGCAAGTTATCTTAATAATCTGAATGTTTTGACCAACCTTACAAGAATAAGTAGAAGGTGGTCATTGCAATAGTCAGCTTCATTGTCCAGACCAATACTGTAGGCTCCAATTAATTTCTTTCAATAGTAAAATTTAAAAAGAATTTTTTCATTAGTAGGATAAGAATGGTGGATTTTCTCTTATTATACAGCAAGGTAATAGCAAACCATTATGTTGGTGAAACAGTAGAATAATAAAAGCTATAATGAAGGTGGTGTAGATAAAGATTGTCCTGAGACGTTTTTTTAAGTCCCTTTCAAGCTTATTGAATATTGGTAGAGCTCTGGGTTTACCAGCCAAGTAGCACACACACTCAGAAATCCTTCTCTTAAGTAAAATGTTTGTGTTAAATGTAGAAGGGTCTCTTAAACAAACCTAGGATTCATTGAAGAAAAAATTTGTATTACCATCTGAATTTCTTCTGTAATATAATTCAGTGTAATATATCTCAATGTAACCTCACTTACAAACAAATTCTGTTAATAATTGGTATCATTCTGTAACACCACTTGTAGATATTTTTATGTAATCCTTAACTGTGATAGGAAAGCATTTGCATTAATGGCTGATCTCTTACTGTAACCCTTCTGGAGTAAGATACATGTAATGTTGTATAATCACAGCAGAGATTTAAAACTTTTGCATTAATGGCTGATCTCTTACTGTAACCCTTCTGGAGTAAGATACATGTAATGTTGTATAATCACAGCAGAGATTTAAAACTTTTGCATTAATGGCTGATATTTTACTGTAACCATAGTGGTGTAAGATACATGTAATGTTGTATAATCACAGCAGAGATTTAAAACGTTTGCATTAATGGCTGATATTTTACTGTAACCATAGTGGTGTAAGATACGTGTAATGTTGTATAATCACAGCAGAGATTTAAAACTTTTTTTCTTGGTTAATGATTAATTTTATATTGTAACCCTACTGGTGTAAGATATAACTGTATAATTATAACTAAAGTATAAAAGCTGTATGTTAATGGGTTATTTACTACACTAATACTAATGGTAAGATTCATGTAATATTGTGTACTTACAACAGAGATTTAAAAGGTTTCTGTTACTGTTGATTTTATATTATAACCCTGTTGGTGTAAAATAATGTATAATTGTAGCTGAAATTTAAAAAGTTTGTGTTAATGGATGATTTACTTCTGTAACTGTGCACAGTTTTAAGACATTTCTGTGATTTCAGAAGTTGTAGAATTTCACTAATTTCAGAGTTTGTGTCAACATATTATTTCATTGCAATCACAAATGTGATTTGTGAAAGTCATGTTAATGTATGAATTTCTTCTGTAACGTTAGTAATATAATCAAAGCTGTGAATTGAGAAGTTTGTGTTAATGTGTGAATTTCTTCTGTAACTTAATGTAATCACAGCTGTGATTTAAGAAGTTTGGGTTAATGGCTGTTTTTCTTCTCCAACCCCACTTTATATAAAATATCTGTAAGATTGATTCTAGTGGTGATTCAAGAAATTTGTGTTTATGACTGTTTTTCTGCTACCCAACTTGGTATAAAACATTCCAGAGTTATTCAAGTGGTGATTTAGAAAAAACGTACTTGTTGAGTTTCTTGTGTAACATACTTTTGAGTAAGGTATTTTACTATTAACCCTGATGTGATCTAAGTAGTTTGTGTTAAATGTATACTCCCTTTCAAACACACATTTGTTTTGTGATTACTAATAGAAAGTCAAGCCTCTAATGATTATTGAGTGAACTTTAAACTTAAGTGCCATTGTTTTGATTTACTTCTCTAATTGCATCTGAAATATTTCTCAAGTGCCATTTAAAATATATCTATATTTGCTGTCAAGGAATTGTGTGCAGCTCTTACATCTCTGGCTTTCTTGTGAGTTTTTTTTAATACAGCATATTTAAAGTATTTTTGAAAGTTGCTGATCTTGTTTTGCTGGATATTTAAAGTATAGAAAGCATATACTTTGAAGTTACAAATTAACATTTAAAATGTTGAAATATTCATGTCTGCAAACTGTTAAGGGGAAATTTATCTATCTCATTACTGGTAGGAAGACAATTTTTTTTATTAACTTTTTATACTTACTTGTGTAATATCAATAGTTGTAACTTGTGTTGGTATTGCTTTCTCATTGTAAAATCTGTAATTCTTAGACTTTAAGTATAAATAATATTGTTACAGTGTAAAAATATAAATAGCATTTTGTAAACAAGATATAAGTTTTACTTTGTTTATAGTGTAACTTGAACGAGTTTTTCTTATTTGGTCAAATAATATTTCTCTGAAGGCTTTGCACTTCAGGGGTGCATAGTTTTCAGAGTTTCTGTAAATGTTGTTTCTCAGCTTTGCTCATTCATTAACATTGCCACTAGTATGGTAGCAGGTGATTATCTAGTCAAACAAATAATATGAATTAGAATATTGATTTCATTGTCCTCTTATACTAAATACTTTATACCAGTGATTATCATTTTCACAAAATTCGAATTTTGTCTGAAAGTGATTTTTCAGATATTTTGAGTTAGTTGGTAATGTGGTGGCATTAAATTTCTTGTAGTAATATACTGTAAGCATAAGATAAAATTAAAAACTAAATGCATGCTAGCAATGTTATGATAATATATTGTATCTTTTAAGTTTAGCATCATTCTTCAGCTTTTTATATCATCAATGAAAAATATTAGAATTTAACATAAGTTCTTAATGTAGATTAAAATAGTTATTTAAAGATTAAGAAATAATCTGTAAAAAGCTTCTAGTAAAATATTGCACGATTGGTAAGTAGACATGTTTTAATAGATACACATCAAAAGCAAACACTATAATAATGTGGAATAATCAAAAGTATGCTGTTGGCAAAATCTAATCTTAAGAATTTTAGCAAGCAGCACAATGTGCAGAACTGGAATTTAATGAAATGTATTGTAAGATTTTTTTGTGGAATTCAAGATGCTTTAGAAATTAGTATTGTGTTGTAACTGATTTCACATGTGGTTCAAATACACATATTTTTATATTCAGAATTATTTGCTTTATTAATTTTCATGTCTGCAAATTTTGAAGAAAAAAATGCTACTTTGATGCAGTTTTAATTTTTGGAATTAATAAATTTATCACTAATTGAAAATCTGTAAGAATTTACAATAAAAGTTTTTTTATCAACCAAATCTTTGTCTCATTTTATAGAAACTTTTTAAACTGGGAACTGACCTTCCAAGTTGCATAATATAGGGGTTCATCAGTTGACATGATATATGTAGAAAAAGAAGAAAAGAAATTACAGATGAAATATTGTCTGTGGTTCACTTTTCTGGGATGTCAGCATTGTATAAAGCTTATCTACCAAGTATTTATTTACCAATTCTCTATCTATGTAATTAAAAAACAACTTATGTCAGTCATTCCATCTCTACTATCTCGCTGGAAACCCAATATTCCTAATGGCTAATTATATATTGGTGTTTTTGCATTTATAGAAGTGCAAAAGTTTGTTTAACATGCATTGTTCTGTATGAGTCAAAATTATGATGTTTATAAAATTAAATTTAAAGATAATTATTTCGTTAACATAAACCTGCAATAAAACACATTAAGTTAATTCTTTACTTTTCAGTAGATTAGAAGTAACACAATATCATTACATCTCATTAGAAATTCCAATAGGTGCCTAAAAATCAACAATTAGGCCTAATGTTTAAATGCACTTTGTACACGAAGCACAAATTTACTTTATATATAATCTACAATCTATGGCACTTAGCCTTAATAGTTACTGCCACCAATGTTACCAAGTCCACTTACAATGAGTGGAATTGGGCTTGTTTTTTCAAAAGTCACCTAACTTTTTGAGAACCATGGGTTGTTTTTTTGGGCTTGTTTTACTCTGAAGTGGCTTATTTGGGTTTTTAGTAATAGCTGACTATCCCTACTCATGTTTATTTAAAAATACATCCACAGTCATGAACTTTTGGCGCACAAACTCGACACATTCTATATAAAACCCTGCAAATCACCATTTTGAGTATAAGCCATAAAGAGCAGTTTTGAAAGTTGGTGCTGCTTATTTTTCTCATGAGTACTTTTTTTTTTTGTTATATTATGTTAAAATAATAAGAAAAACTGTATCAGTTACATGGTATTTTTATGTTCTTTTGCCACTCACAGTTTGAAGTTTACGTACTTGATAAATCTGAGTTGATCATTGTAATCACCAATGTACTTATCCAGAGAGCACTTAGTTAAAGTACACACATATCCTTTCACAGCTTGTGTGAGCAATGTTGTTGTAAATAAATATTTCTACCATAAGAAAAGCCAATAACTTAAATGTGTTGGAAATTATTAATTGTATGTTTTTTATAATGTGTCTTGATCAAAGCATTGAAAGTTATATAGATTTCTAGCAATGCTGAACTTAATAAATGATACTTTAAATGAGGGTGTGGGCTGCCTCTCTCATTATTTTTAATCATAAAACACGACCCATTAATTTTACACAAATGTACCTGTGCTATATGCGTAATTAAACATTGGTTTCATTTGAAGTCAGCTTTAGATATTTTGCTATCTGATCTCATTCAGGTTAGCAGGTCCACAAATTTTTTTATACATATATATATGCATATATAAATTGTGTTATAATAATTATTTTGGGCTCTTTTGTGTTAATAATCACAAAAGTCTTATTCTTTCTCCCTCTCAATGAAATACCAGCATGTATCATCACCTTTTTCCATATTTCATACATGCAGTAAAGGAGTTTTCTTTATTTGTAAGTTTTAAAAAGAATGGTATAGGAACCAAATTTTTGGATTCATTTGATGTAAGACTAATAGAAGGACTTGCAAATTTGTTGTCATGGGAACTAGAATAAACATTTAACCTAATTTAGCTTTCATGACTATATACATTATATATCTGCACACTGGGTAGGAGTATATTGTGGCTGATTATTTTCTAATACTAGTAGCAGTCGCTCCAAAATTACACCATTGAGAAACATTGTTTTATATGTTCAGCCGTCTTTAAACTTCAGGAAATAAAATGTAAAAGCTATGTACTTAGAGCAAAACTATAAATCACCTGGCCATCATTAAAAAGCTTAGAAAACATTCTTTAATCAGTTGGGAACCTCGCTGTCAACGAAATGTTGGGGCTTAATCCCAATAACATCTCATGATGTTCGGCTAACTTAGGAAATTAATGTAAAACAGTCATTATTAGCTTCAAATATGTATTTTATAATAAAAGTATGATAATAAAAAAATGACATTCGATATACTAACTATACACCTGGAAAAAAGTTAAGCACCCCCGTGTTTTTTTCAAGTGATTCAGATTCGACGTTCTTGTGACTGATTATAAATTACCATTCAATCTAAACGTGTTTATCAAATGAAATTATGCATTATTGGGCACAAGAAAACAAGATTATCACCGTAAAATAATTTTTAATTTACATATCATGACATCAAAATATGGACAGTTTTCACGCTTAAAATTATCTTTAATAAGTATTGTCAGTGAAAGCTCAAAAACGTTATTGAATTGTCAAATCACGTTACAAAATGTCAAT